ATAAAATTTTTCATATATTTCAAATAAAAACTTGCAGTATTTATTTCGCAGTTAAAATTGAATCTTGCTCTAAGTGCTAACAGACAATTAGATGTCAAATAATTATTCTCTGATTGTTCTGACCAATTTTACTAATCTATACTCATTTTTATACGCGTAACGGGGTAGCATTAATAAAATAAAAAAAATTGAATGAATCGATTGAATCGGTTCAAATCATTCGATTAGTATCATATATTCAAATCGGTCTTATTCAATCAAATCAATTGATTTTTTGGCCATCCCTAGTGTGCAGGAACCATAAAGGTCACCCTGCGGATGTAGTGGATTCCGTTCCTCCTTGCGGCGGATAGGTTCTACTATCAAAAAAGAAACCTAATTCAAATTGTTACTTTCACATGGAAAGTTGCTTGATTGAATTAGAAAGATCTTTTTTATTTTGAATTATATAGAAAGATTTCATTTCTATGGATGTAGCAGATTGAAAGTAGTGGGACATCTGTCAGCCAATCAAATTTTGAGCTCATTTGCAGTGATTCACATGCTCATTCACGCTGTAATGAGCTCAATTTCTGATTAGTTGAGATCTCAGATCATGTGATGGGTCCTCCGATGGATCATGCATAATGGGTAAATCTTTCGAATTCAACTTGGAAAGTTGTAAATTCATGTGGAACCTTGCTTCGCGTGAAAAGCTGTAAATTCATATGAAAGTAACAGATGGTTATATCAATTTTTTAGTATTGCAGCCCTTAACGGAGGCGAAATCTATTGCGCTTCTGAGAATGTCTTTTACAATGTGAAGCGAGGTTCCACTTAGATTTACAACTTTCAACTCAAATCGAGGGCTATACTCAATATTTAATTCAATATACCAAAATTTGATTTAGATTAGATTAGAATTATATTTTTCGGACGTGGAAGCCCTCATGCAAGAGAAGAGGACGGAATTCACTACTGCGTTTATGTGAATCGAAGTTTCACATGGGTTGTAATTATAAAGTTAAACTCATTTATTATATTGACTTTATTTGTTAATAATTCTTTAATGAACAACTAAAATTTTTTGAGCTGCGTTAAAAAATACCACGAGTACATCCAAATATTATATAATCCTTGTTGTTCACCAAATGTTGAATAAGGATATAATGATACTCGGAGGTACTTAGAAAGTGTTTTCGAGCACAGCCTTGAAGGTCATTCAGGATCTTTTTCAGGATAATTTTGACTATACAAGTATATAGCAAGGTCAGGTTTATTGGAGAGCAGCCCCTTTTATAAACTCTAATTACTTAATGTTTTTTAGAGATATAGCATTCGCTATAGCATTCATGTTCGAAGATTTATAATTCTATTCATTACGGGTGTGATTTATTTTCACGCTCACACGCTGTAAGCACCAGTTTATCTTTGTTATATTATATCAAATATTAATAGAGTCCGACCGAAACTACATTTCGACCTTCGGCCGAAACTGAAAACAAATATTCGGTTGTCATCAAATTTCGGCCGAAAACGAAACCGAAACCGAAACTTAGATAAATCTTATTAAAGAGAGAGAGAGAGAGAGAGAGAGAGAGAGAGAGAGAGAGAGAGAGAGAAGCTAACGGAATCACATTTTTTCGGCCGGAATCGAAATCAACATTTTTTTTATTAATTTTACTATGATTTTCAGAAATCATGACAAATTTATATACTCTTTAAAAAACAAGATTTTAAATGTCTAAGATTCAAAATGTCTAACTATAATAATATAACAATATTGCATCCTCAACTTTTAGAGAAATTAAATCAGCTATTATTAGGATCACATCAAAGTTTGTACTCAAATTGTCTTAAGCTTAATCAATGAGTTAATATTTAAAAATATTAAAATTAAACAGTTTTTTTTTTAACGCTCACCGGCGCGTTGCAACTTGCACAGTTTCGGTTTACTCATCGAAATTTTCTCTTCAGTTCAGATTTCAGCCGAAATCGAAATTAAACTGAAATCCTGATTTTTTACGAAACTGATCGAAACCGAAACCAAAACCAAAACCAAAATTTCGATCGCTCTCTAAATATTAAACAAGGACAAATGGTGCTTATTGTTAGTGCTTAAAAGCGCTGTAAGCCCAAAACGAACCGCATTCTACTAGATTTCTGAATAATTGTTGCAGCCACATTGAATCGTGGTTGTCATAAGCGTGAAATAATACATTGAAGTTTCTTGCATACTATTTATAAATAAAGAAATTGAGACTCTCTTGCTTTCTCTCTCGCACAAATGTTGATTTCAGGCTCGATACATGGGCAGCGTGGGCAATTCTTCTTCCATTTATATATGTCCTAAGATTTCACATGCCTTTTACGATTATTTCCTGTCGGAGGGAGGAAAGATTGTTTATGAGTATTTTAAAACGATTTCATTATAATGATTAATATTTCATATAATCCAAATTTATTTATAAATGGCATATAAAAAAATTTAACGTGTTATTTCTGGCTTATGACGCCACGATCTAATGTAATGGCGATTATACTCAGGAGCCTCTTAATGGAATTCATACGAATATTTTGCGCTTCCATAAGCTCTTTAAAACAATATGAAAGAACACAATTATATAACACGAACTTATTATTAAATTAAAAGTATGAATTAGAGAGATATAAAGCTATACCAAAATACTTGTATACTGCATCTTAATAAGTTATGTATTATTTAAAAATCTGTGTTATATGGTGTCTCATGTTTTTGCATTATTCGAATACTTCTACATTATATGAATACTTTTGAGTATACATTCGTAAATCGATTAACAACAAATATACATGTAAGAAAAATTCGTAAGCATCACAATATCTTACTTCATTCCATTGTAAGATCAATAATATATTTAGCGTATTTGGCGCTAATCTTAAAATATTATTTATACATATGGCAATAACAAAGGCAATCAACATAGAGAATACATTAGTTATCAAACTAATGTATCAATTGTGACTTTTCTACAACAAACCATTATCTAAGCTTTAAGTCTTAAGGTATAAGAAATTGACTAATCGTAATCAATTATTCTTTTCACATTCGACTGTGATTGATCAATTTTTTACGGCTTAAGACTTTAAGTGATAACTTGTTGTAGAATGTATTCGAAAACAGCTTGCCGTGTCATAACAAGTCATAGAGAGTTTTATAAAATATTATACTTAATAAATATTCATATACTAGCATATTCATATACTGTATCTATTAGATAGTAACATAAAATTTCATAAAATTTATCATTTTCTTCCATGCGCTCTGTATGATACAGAATTTATTATGTTATAATTTATTATGTTATGTACAAATGTCGATTACCTAATGTAGTACAAACAATTACTTTCCAAAACGAGTAGTAAAAACAACGTTTGTTTCGTATAACTTTATGCAGAGCGATTACTAAATTATACAATTATATAAAATGATCGGTTTTCATAGAATTCGCAACATTATTGTATCGTTTTTCCATTATCACAGATTGTTTTGGTAGCAGACCTATTTGCGATATCACGTTCTAGAGAAGGCCTACAATGGACTAGAGTATCTTAGCAGAAACTGCTGGGACTCTGCATTAAACTGTTTAAACCGCCATCAAGTTTCCAGCGTTGGAAAGAGTCTTGTTAATACGAAATAGGCTACATCGTAGTTATTCCAATATGCCGTATGTGCCGTTACAGTATACAAATAATTTCTTCCTAAACCAACCGCACGAAGCACATAATCCAATCGTTGTGCTAATTCTAATGACGCAAAAAATATTTGTAAATAATTTATGATGCAGAGAAGGTTCCTATACGTTGTAATAATGTGTATAGAATTACCTTGACCTGGACGGATTGGTGGATTTGAATCTGGTGTTGGCGAAGATGGACCTTCTCTAATGTTCCAACCACCTCGCACTAAATCCCAAAGACTCCAGCCCTTCTCTGCATTACGATTGGGTGGACTATCCACTGGACTATCATCTTTATCATCATTTTCTATTGATACATATAATAACTCTATATTAAGTATTAAAAATTTTTGTTCGTTTAATTTAATCGACTTGTATGCGTTAAATTCGTTAACTCTGTACTATTTTAAATACTCTTATTGTCAGTCCAGATTTTTGAAAGTTATATTTTCAAGGAGGAAATCAATATCTTTTTGAAGAATTAAATATTAACTCCTGTATAGAAAACACATATTCTTTGCGTTTATTTTGCAAATATGAAACATTTTAGTTCATTGGTATTTTTAAATGAAAATTATGATAATCCACTTTTATTAAAATGTTATGATTAATTTGATCTGTATATACAGTTTAAAAATGAAGATACTTTCTCATTACTTGTCCCATTTTAATTTGAATCAATTTTGAACTGAATGTTTATTACAATAGCTGCATAGTAATATATTATATATCTATGTAAAAGTATTAATACAAGTTTATATACAAAATAATTGTTAATTATATGTCGATATTTTAAAAGATAAATACGAATCAGAAGACAAAGTCGAAAATACAAAAATATCATTTAAAAAAACTAAATAAAATTAGTTAAATACATAATAAAATTAGTTAGATTTTATATTTCGAACTTCAAACATGTCATAAAAGATATTTAAATATCTTAAGAATAGGCTGATAAATAAAATACCTGTAGGCGGTAGAATCGGATCGACGTTGTTCAGTGATGAAGGCGATTGTGGTATTTGCTGACCATCAATTCCTCCGTATGGTGGTATTAGAACTGGTTCGATTTTACTGTAACCCCTTTCCAAAAGCGGTTCCATTCTATAAGCCACTGGATCGGACCAGTGAAATATGTTATAGAATCTTTTACATAAACCTTGCGGCATCACATCTAATCTGTTGGATGGAGTACGAGTGCGCAGAGCTAAAAATACGGACAATGGCGAACCCAAGCAAAACAAATTTTCAATCTGTAAATGGGAAAACAATTTTCACTTGGTATAATTCCAATAATTAAAAATAATTTGTTGCAAATTTTGTAAACAGTTTAAAATTTAAGACTATTTTCTCTATTGACTATTTTCCAAAGTCTAAAAATTTTTTCGAAAGTTTTATATTTCTCTAAAAAATATATTAAATATTCTTTTCGTTAAAAATATTGCAAAATTATTACAAATACGCGAAAATTAGTTTTTTTACATTAATTTTTTAAATAAATGATTTTAATATATATATA